AATGAATATGTTTGAGCGGGGTCATTCCGGCAACTTTAAATGACTCAGCATCTTGAAAATGACTTCAAGAGAAAGTAAATATGTTAATTTAAAGGAAAGGGGGGTGCTTCTTTCTTAAGAGCACATCAACAGCTGAGTTCTGGAATTTAGCGTTGGAGAGAGAGAAGGTCAGCATTCACATGGAGCATATGGCTGTTCCTTGAGAAACTTCAACAAATCATAAGCTCTTGGAAAACCTGGTTGGTGTATGTTACTGGACAAAGATTTATTAGCTAAATTATCTGAATATTCCATGTATCATGAGTGTTTTTCCTGTCTTTTGGTCCTTGTGTGTCCCCTGACTGCGCAGGCATCCTCTGGACCAAGTGGTTAACGTGATGCATCCCACAGCAGTAGGGGATGGGTAAATTTAATCCTAAATAGTCTTTCTTTACCTGTGCTTCTCCCCCAACCCCAGAACACTTAGGCAGCAGTCCTGCTCCTGGTGGGATGAGGACTGATGTTCGGAGAAAGGTGGGAAACAGAGTGGGGCAGGAAAGTAAGGATTTTTATTAAATCATCATTTTGAAAAGAAAATAACAGTTCATTTTAGGGCATAAACTTAGCAGCAAAACAAAGTTGGTCAGGTTTGACCAAATGTAGGGTCAAAACAGGGGAGCTACTGGGAATGTTAGTGATGGACTGGATCTGGATTTGACAGAGGGTTGCTGGGCTAGGATTTGGTGTGACTCAGTTTTTTCACTGGTCCAAGTCAATGCTTGATTCATTAATGGGGTCATTATTTCTGAAATCATAAAGGACATAAAAATGAAATTATTGGTAATGCAACATCTTGATCTTGATGAAGTGTTCAAATGCCAAAAATGCACAGAGAGGATTTTCTTACCCGTTCAATGTCCAAGATCCATTTTAAATGCAGGTATTATTTAAATAAAACTCCTTTTCATCATTCAGCTGTACGTCAGTAGTGTTAGGAATTCACTCTTTCAAAGAACAAGTATTTGGAAACTTATGATTTTGTAATAAAAATGTTGGAAAACACAACACATGTTTACATAAACTGCTAACATTGTAAAGTATTCAGTAGCAATAAAGGAAGTGAGATTGGTGGTTATTCTGTGTCTTCCTTATGAAACCACAAAGAATAAACACAAAACAAGATTAACTTCAGTCATAGTTTATTGGGTGCTGATGCAAATCATGATTAAAATAGGATTTCCTGTTGCTTTGACTTAATTTGTCTGGAAGGATATGGTTCTATGAGTGTCTCCAGAAGTTTGTCTGCAAGCTTGTGTGGATATTCCAAAGGCTTCAACAGCAAAGGCATTAAATTGTGTCTAGGATATAAGCAACCCTGTTGTTTATCCATGTGTGGAATGCCAGGGAGATGTGGAGAGGGGAGTTCTCTCTTTTTTCTTTTTTTTTTTTTTTTAATGGAATTGTGTTTGAAAAAAAGTAATTAAATATCATTAAGTAGGAAAGTTGTACCAGGATCAGTTCCAGCTGTGGAGCTGCTGATACACGTCCTCTGGTATGTGAGAGGTGTTCATAGCCCTTGGAATGCCACCCTCTCTAGACACTGTGTTCTTGATTTTTGGGTCCAAAATGTTATGACAGCAAATTGGGTGAAAACTGAGGGGGGGGGGGGGAAATCCTTCTCTGTCCTGTAATAAGAAATACGTGTGAGGATTCATATGCTGGAACCATAAAAAGTCCTTTAGTTTGCAGTGTTAAGAACACAGAAAGAAAGGAATCTTCACTTGCTGTGTGGATATTGGTGATGGATGAGGGAGTGATGGGAAATATTTTTGCTCCCTCATACCCTAATCCCTCAGGAGTCTTGGAGCAATTAAAGGAGGTTTTGTTTCCCCCGACTTCTGTTTTTCTCTTGCCAAAATTGCTGTTCAGTCCCATAATTCCTTACTTTATGGAGCTAATAAAGCAGGGTCAAATTACAGTGTGAATTGGGCAGGGGAAACTGAGATATGCTGCAGGAAGTTTCTTGAATTTGAGAGTCTTTTAATAGTCAGAAGAATGAGGTTTTTCATTTTGGAGAAGGTGGGAGAGCAACCTGAGGATTTCCTCCTGTAATGCCAAGAGCTACTTGGGGGCAGGATACCTGGGATACTGAGGTATTTGTGACTGGACTGAGTAGGATTCCTCATCTTGTCCCTGTTGTTAAAAAGTGCTATGGTAAATTGGTGATGACATGAACCAGGAACATGAACCATGATTATGCACCACTTCCCACTAAATGTGTTGGTGTGCACACGAAGGATGTGCGCAGAATTAGGAGCTGAAGTTCCTCACAAGATCTCCTTAAATTTACTTCTGTTGTGCCTTGAGAAACTTATATGATCTATACATCCTTAATATCCATTTTATCAGTTAACTGCATGTGCAGTTTTAGCTTATAAAGTAGCACATGTTTCGTAGCACTTTTTTTCTTTTTTTTTGTATTTGGTCCCTGCAAGTAGGAGAATTTGCTGATATAAATATACCAAAAGCAGATACTACACAGAGAGTGAATTGCTAAAGGAACACATATCTTTTAATGAGGTGGTTTGTTGTTTGTCATGCTGTGTGGCGTTGTGTGGTGATGCTGGGAAGGTGGTCTGTGATATAAATATTTTGTGTGGCTTGTTAAGTTATGAAATGGGGGGATATGAAAAGAGGATGCTATGAAAGATTAATGAGACAACAGAGCAGTGTATGTGGTGCTGGAGAGATCTTACTGAATGAAGTCAGTGCTACATGGTACGTATATTCAAAATCCTGCATGCAAAGAAAGGTTGATGGTAGCTTGTAGTGTAGCCTGTATCTCTGCAGAAATTCAAGTTTAGTTGTGGATTTAAATTTAATTTTCAGTTTCTTAAAGTATAATATGCATTTGTTTTTTTAATGTAGTCTCATATTCATCAACATTAACATATAAATAACTCTATTGCGCCACCAAACAATAAAGGGAAAAAAGTGACACAAAGTAAATCTCATTTTACTGCAGCCAAAAATTGGTTTTGTGGCTTTTTAGGGCTTGACTCCCAGGGCAGTTGACAGCATAGCTGTTGTATAATAACTGTGTAACTGTGTGCTGGAACTCCCTCAGGCTGGTATTATGTTCCTGTTCAGGAACATCATCTTTCTTAAAAGTATAATATTCTAAACAATGACTGTACTTGGTAAGTGCATCAGACAGGGGAAATGGAAGACACCTTGCTGCCGAATGAGAACATTCTCATTGAGCACAGCTTTAATAAACTTGTCTGCATCAACTTCATATTGATTTGTTTGTCTTAATTTCACTGAATGACTCTTCATGGGCAGGTTGATGGAGATCGATAACGACTGCATGAAAAGATGGAATGAATCCTGGATGGCATGTTGTCATCTGTACTCCACTTACTGCTTCATTATTATTATTATTATTATTATTTGAATCTATAAAAATATAAATGTATCTGGATCTTGATGTCTGCTAATATGTGTAAGTGTCAATGTAGAGGCAGGTCTTTGCTTCTTCCTGGCTGACATGCAAAGGGAGAGAATGATGGAAAAGAGAGTTCTTGGATGATTGGCTGAGCAAGTTCATATTTTGCTTTGTAGTAAAAGCCTCAGTCATGATTTGCTTTCTGAGAGACAAAGCAAGTTCATTTGGGTTTCGTAGATAAGTATCTTTATTATGAAAACGTAACTTTAAAGTTTTTCAGCAAGAGGAATAGAAGGAAAACACAAATGGGCAAGAGCAATTCCAGTTTTAGACTCCACACTGCCTTGATGTTGTCTCCATCCTTTCCCTGCACCCTGTTCTTGTCCTGAGTGAGATGTGCAAGGAGACATAACGTGCAAACTCAGATCTCTCTTGTCTGATGTGTTTGAGGGTAGACAGTAGTTCTGAATGCTGTTAAGTGTCTCTTGGAAGAGGTCAAGATGACTGCAGCATCCCCTGGCTCCTTCTCAGGAGCACCTTTCCCTCTGCAGCACCTTTCACTGGGCCTGTGTTTCTTTAGCACCTCTTATTTCCTGCTCTTGATATCTCCTAAGTTGTACAGAAACTTGCCTATTTCCAGAGTTTCAGCTGAGGGCTTTGCAGGCAAGAGCTTCTTCTTCATGCATTAAATATCTTTGACTGACCAGAAGTGGCAGCAGTGGCACCACTGGTTCATTGCTGAAGTTGTTTCTGAGTTAGGGGAACAGATTTTTAAGATTTTCAGCAATTCTCCTATATGTCTGAGACAAAGAACAGATGTTTTATCTATGTATTCCAGTTTATCTGGTAGTGACCTACATTTTGAAGATAATATGAATAGTGAGAAGTCCTCTTTGAAAGTAGACCAGTAAATTGAGGTGGGCGAAAATGAGTACCAAAATTATACAAAATACGTGGTGTGTGAAGAAGGGAATAAGGGGGTTACAGTGTCTTCTCAGAATGGCACTGAGAAGCTGCAAAAATAAGAGAAGCCCATTCTCTGAGGACACAGATCTTTGACAGTTTGAGAAAAAGTGGTAAGAGCTTTTAATGTATGATCTGCTCCTTGAGCCTTCATGACCAGGTGTATGTATCACTCTGGACTGAAACTCCTTCTAGCTCAGTGTTTAATCTCTTACCGATGGCTGAAATTTATACTGCCTTAGACCCCCTCAGAGTTAGAATGAGGTTTCATGCACCAGAGATGGCATCTAGATTGTGTCTAGGCCCTTGGAATTTTGCTTTTCCATGAGCTTGTCTAAAAAACAACACATGCATAAGTTTTGGTTCTCAAATCCAAATACCAACTTCCTCCCGCTTTCAAAAATGTTGGAGTCGCTTTGGCTCCAGCTCTTGTGCAGTTGTGGACTTGGGGAGGAAGAGATAATCTGGTTCAAGATCTGAGCTGTGTGTTTTGGCCATCATATCATTTCAGGAAGCCCCTGTGCAACCTCAGTGCCTGGAACTTCCCCGAGACGGTTTTTTAATGCTTTTTCAGCAGTTTTGTTTTCTAAGTATGTTTTCACAATCATTACTGCTTTTTTAGAGTAGCTTCAATGTATCAAACAGGTGCTATTAAATACAAGTAACTTTAAGTGGTAATTTTTTGAAAGCTTTTTAAAATTGCTGAATAATCCCATAACAGAAGGTGTGTTCACAGAACACAGGAGCCTAACAATGGCCCATTCCTGTCATCTCTTAGTTTCTGTCATGTAGGAGATTACTTGATCATGCTTTGATTATACCATGGAATGTATTCAAGTGATTATGAAGGAAATTTAAAGGGGGGAAAAAAAAAGTCTTTCTTGGTTTCATGCGTAATTTTCACAACACTGGTGAGTTATTCCTGTCTTCATTTTGTAGTTTTATTTTTGGGATGTGCCTTGTGTAGTCTTAGCAGGCAAACACTGAGCCATAGAGTAAAATCTGAAAGTTGAATAGTGAGCGAGTTATTATTCCAAATGGAGCCTTCTGTTAGAGGTCTCAGCAAAGACAAAGGTAAATACAGAGAATGAATGCCATAAGATGAGGGAAAGTGCAGATAATAACATGGGATATAGGTGTGATTAGAGATTATTAACAATGCAAAAAAAATGTTTCAAAACAGGCAAAAAAACTCCCAAAACCTGTCAGTTCACTTAAACTGGGGAGGGAACCACCTAATAAACCAGAAATTCTTTTAAATCACATTCAGTCTTAGAAAGTGTGTTCTGTGTTGTTTTCTTCTTCTGCTTATTTCTCTGTTGGTTTTTAGGTCTCTGCCCTCCACGTTGTACGTCAGTGGCATCTCTGCTGGAACAAGATCATGTCTTCTTTGACCCATTGAAGGAAAGGGGTGAGCAGCTTTCTCACAGGCAATACTTTATCTCGTTTAGAAAACAGCGTGCCCTGGAAGCAAATACCATGGTGTAGTGTGTTGAAAAGTGAAGCCAGTTCTAGATGCTTTTCATGTGTCAAACGGACTCGCTGTTCTGATTTTTTGTTGCTTTTTAACTCTTGTGTGTGAATGTAGGGATCTATGTTATACAGCAAGTGACAGGACCAGAGTTAAATAAGAATGAAAAAAGGAGCCGTGGTGAATCTGTCAGCCATCCATTTCTCTCTGAAGGACTTCAAAGGAACACATATGAGGGAAAATTAGAAGGAATGATTACTTGTTAACAAGTCTGGTGGGTAGTTTCTTCACAACCCTGAGAGGGTTAGTGGTTAGTTTATAGCCTGAAGCATAACTATTTATATCTCTTACAAACATCTGCTGTAGCTTGTATATGTTAAAAAACGATACCACTGAACTCCAACAGCTTACTTGCACCTTATGTTAACGTTACTGGGTGGTCCCTTTGCTCTTAATTACAAAGGAGTAAGTAGAACAAGTGAGGAGTGATGTATGTTAAGTGATCGCTTTGTGTGCATGTTTCAGCTCTCCTTTAATCTTTCTCCTTACATACTCAACTTGCATGGAGTCTCCACATTTCTAATCATGATTACTCCATTTAGCTTCCTTCCTGCTTTACGTTTTACCTTCAATTGTATTAAAGGCTTGCCTTTCCCCCCCCCCTTTGCTTTGTAGAGCACAATGCTTTTGTGAATTCCCTTTCGCCACAGATACCGGTGGAGTCCCTGATTGCAGTTCATGCATCAGCTTCCAGTTACGTGACCTTAAGCGTTTCCTTGGGTTTTCCACACGCTTTGCTTTCAAAATAAATGGAATGGGAGTTAGTTCTGTTCTGTGTGAAGCAGAGTGGCAGACTCACCCTCGGGTTGTTTTTGTTATTTGTAACTCTCCGAATGCAACACAAATGCGCAGCTTTCCTTCTACTCCGGATTCCTTTCACAAAGGATAATTGGCATTTTGAAAGCTGAGTTGTCCCACAGTCACATGTTCTTAGGCTCACCTCACATACCCAGTGTTGTATGGCCTAAGGTGTAGCTGTGCTGGTTAAAGATGGTCTTACTGTGAGTTGAAAATCGACACACATGAGCCAGAAATTACCACATGAGTAGGTCAGCCAAGAGCAGGGGTTGTGTGAGTGCACAGCAACGGGCCTGGGACAGAGTCAGCTGGTTTCCATCACAGCCACCTTTACCACAGGGCTGGACTGGCCTGGCTGGCTTGATGTAAAAAAAAGAGATCAGAAACTGCCCACGTGCTCTGTGAGTCCAGTGGTGGAGCTGTGGAAGTAATTAGCTCTGGCAGGGTGGCACTGATAAACATCTGGGAGCGACAGCGGCATCGCTGTCTGCAGAGTGAACATCTGCTGGGGCTGTGTCTGCTAATGAGGGTATCTGAAATTAGCTTATAAAAGCCAAATGTGCAAATACCTCTTCAGTCACTTTTCTTAAAGTTTAGCATAGTTTGTGTCTTACCACTTCTGGGTAATGAGGAGTTGTTTCTTTTTAGTGAACCGAAGTAATTCCTCGGTTAATTGCCTCAGTTTAAGTGTGTGATTAGCTCAATTTGTTCTTCTTGATTTGCAGTAGTTGTCTTCACTAAATCTCATCAGTTCCTATCTTGCCTAATAGCTTAATCTTTTTCTGCTGTAATTATAAGTCAGAGGGGAAGTTCTTATGGGAAATAAAGGATATACCCATGTAGAATTCTTTCCTTCTTTGGTGTGTCCTGAGGGCCTTCCAGATGTGGAACATCTCTCTCCCTTATGGAAATCTGGAAGGAAGGGTTGGTCCAGCGTGTCTTGTTCTCCAGAAATTCTTGCCATGCCCTATTGGCTTTACCAGTTTACGTATCTTTGTTGCTTCCCTCTCTATGTAGTTCTTTCTGCCATTAGTGTGATCTCACACCCTTGTGAGCTCTAAGACATTCTTCCTCTTCTGCAACTGTTTCACCTTCTACTTCCTCATTTCTGACCAGGGACTTCATCTTTCTCCCACAGCCAAACAACTTATTTAACAGTGCCTTACGAGGAACTTCTTCATCTTAAGAACTATTAAACTATTACTCTTTCTTTGTTGACCATTTCAATTGTTCTCCATGTTTTTTGAGGGTAGTCTGGTCTGTGCTTTGGATGTCACAGTCAGAAATTACATGTGTGCCTTTGGAGGAGGAAGAAAAGCAGCATTTTCTATTTGCTTGTTCACTCTATAAATACAGACAGACACTTGCCTGGGCTGTAAGCTGCCATTTATGAAAGAAAATAAATGTTTAAACTTAAGTCCTCCTTTCAGGACTGATGTTTTAGATTGTGTCCCCTCAAACTATTTTGAAAGGTATCTCACTTCTGCTACTGTGACAAGTGCTGGTTTTACTTCTAACACCAAATGACTCATAATGATAAACAAAATTTTAAAATCTGAAGTACTTCAGTCAGCGAGTGCATTTCTGTTATTCCCTTTTTATTTTTAGTTTTGGTGGGGAAATCAGTAATATTTATTTTAGAAGTTTCAAAGAAAGTGATACTGATGTTTCGTAGACAGATACAACCTGTTTTGTAAAGGAAGCTGTGCTCACATCATCCTGGTGAACTTCTCTGGTCTTTAAAGCTCTTTAAAAAATAAGTTTTAAAATTGCAGCAATGCTTAGGAATCACACTTTGAGCAGAACTTGATGCAAAATAAGCGTTGAGGTTTGTCCTGAGGAGTTTGGTTTGTCTCTGTGCCTGAAACTGTTAATAGAGAAGGGAATCTTGAAATTTGTCCTGCGTTTCCAAAATGAAACACTTACTTGAGACTATTATAAACTGTAGGGGAAAATATCCAGAAATTTAAAAATTGCTCTTAAAAAATGGTCCTGTACCACAGTAGTATGCAATGGTGAAGGAAAGATTTAAAAATAGTTGAAAAATTTGTAGGGATTGAACACACTACAAAGAAATAAGTTTTCTTCAGATCTTAAACTGCTGAATGTTCTAAAAATCAGTTCTTCAAATACTGGCATAAGTGAAGGAGAGCAGAAAACCTGGAATTAATACTTGGATGTAATCTTTTTCAAGGCATGAGCTCTGATTTCTTTTTTAATATGGATCTTTTCCTATCGTAGCTAAACATTAGGACTCCTCCATGTCAAGGAAAACTGACTACTGTGGTAATAGTTAGTGGTAATAGCTTAATGAGTTATGTGATTTCAGTTGTAATGGCTGCAAATCTGACAAGAAAATGAAATGTAAATTAGAAATTTGATGGGTAAACTCTATCTGGTGGTGGTGCTTTGCTAATTTATTTTTTTTTAATTACTGGGTGTCTGACTTAAAAATATTTAACTCGTCTGGGCACCCAACTCCAGCTAATGCCTAAAGGGAATAACATACATGTATTTACTTGTGTTGAAATCCTGCTTTAATTAGTGTTCCCCAAAGTATCAGATGACTCTGAAAACGAGATTTCAGAACTCCTGGGTCTCTTCTGAAACTTTATAATCAAGTTGTTGAACCTTAAATGGGTTGGTTGGTAGATTCCTAATGTCAGAAGGGGTTTGAGCCTCCAGTCTCTGAAAGTAGTTTCAGGCCCTAACTCTAGAAATGGGATTCATACTCTAAGTGAACTGGGTATTCCTTAACTGTGTTTGCATTTAGTTCATCAGTTGTAACTTATTATTCCAGCTACAGTCATGCTCAATGTGTTGTTAACCTTTTCAAAACACAGAAACACGAATCTGCTGGTTTCTACATTTCATGTGTTGCCTTAGAATGTTACTTAAGTAGTATAAAAATAAATGCTTAGGAGTACTTGAAGCCTGTCAATGTAAAAGAACCTCAGCCTCTTATTAAAAATTTTTACATTAAAATATAAAAAGATGCATTGAAACTTTTGCTGGTTAAACCCATTACATTTTCCAACTGAATTTTTGTGTTGTTCAAATATGCATGTGGCTTTTATTGTCAATAAACTCAATGATTTCTTTGGGGAGAGGTGAGCATGAATCTTATCATTTTCCTTTATTTTTTCTTCTTGTCACCTTTTAGAGCTGGATTCTAAGTGGTCACTTTTGTAACTGCCTTTTTTTTTTTTTTCCTTTCCTCTAAAGAATATTTGTTCACACTTATGATGATTTGACATAATTAACGTTTTATTAACCATGATGGCAACACAGACATTAAGTATAGACAACTATCAAGATGGGCAACAGGTAGGTGTGTTTTTCTTTCTCTGTGAGCTAAATACAATTAGCAAGAGAAAATAGTGGCTTTGTCCTCAGTGGCTGCTTTGCCATTGTTTAATTGTCTGGTCTTGTTTGTAAAGAAAGATCTTTAAACTATAGCAGCTTATCACTTTAATTCTTGGGTGCCTATTAAAGGTTTAATTAATTTTTGCATGGTTTTGCTTAACTTCTGAAAGAATGATTCGGTAAGGGGTTTTACTCTGTGTCTGCACTGAATTATTTGTGTGCTGTAATCCCATTTTTAGGAAAGCCAAAGGGGTTTCTGTAATATTTTGTGTGTATGGTACTTCAGTGTTCCTGTATCTGAAGTTACAACAGACAGAAGGTATTTACACAGTCACATCTGTGGTCTTCATCAGCTGAAGGAAAAATTATCTGGAATTATATGCTCTTTTGACTGCATTTAAATTGGTGGAATTATGCTTCAGCTTGAAAACTGGTTACAGACTTAAATTCATTTTAATGAGGTTATGGATTAGAATTGATAATTGAAAAGCTGCTCGCTCAGAGTCCAGTTTTGAATTAGCAAACTGCTGGAATAATGAAACACGCTGGGATATGTTGCTATTTTTTGTGCAACAGGCTGTATATTGCAACAATTTGAATAGCTGAATTAAGATGCTGTTAACTGGAGACAAGTCCTGCCTACAGGGCTGTACTCTGCAGTCGCATTTTTAGGTTACTGTATCAGCCCGAAGCAGTAGATACAAGTCCTTCTGTCAGCAGATGGCAACAATGGGGAACAATCAGAAGAAAAGCAGCAACTTTTCCCAGCTCTTAGGAGATGTTTGTTTGAACGAAGTCTGGGATTATTGGGGGGTTGTTGTTTTTGTTTGTTTCTTTCACTGCAGTTCTAATTTCTCTCCCGTCTCTCACCTGCTTTACATCCTTGGCTTTATTCCCCCACCAAGTAGATGCCATCCTGTGGCACATCAGTGAAAGTAAAATCTGGGTTTTTTTCTTAATAACAGATTGGGAGAGAGCTTTTTCTGTCTTTATTTGTTCTGTGTTTCAAGCTCTCGGTGTCCAGGTAATTCAGGTGCCTGCTGTTTTTGTAGTTTGGAAATGGCCCACAGAAAATATCTTGCAGTTTTAAGTGAGCTATTTCCTCTTTGTGATGAGATAGAACCCCAGCTGAACATATTCTCTCCCTTCAAACTCTGCAGCTGTATGGCCAGCATTTATAATCACTTGTCTGAGTCATCCCCTTTTAATTTGCTCCCCCTTCCTGTCATTAGCCAAGAAATGAGTCCATTAGATGTATGTTTGTTTGGGGTGTTTTTTTGCAAGCATTCTGGCTTAAAAGTCTCCTCTGGAGGAAGCTTTTTGCAAGTCAGGCTGCTCAGTTGGGTGGGAGCTGCTGGATTTCCTGTTTCTGATTTTGCTAGGAGGTGGCTTGGCCCCTACAGGTGACAAAGCACAAAGCTTTTGGTTCTTCCAGACTTCACGTGCAGAACAGCACAGATTCTTCTGGTTTTTGTTGTGTGGAAATAAATTCTGCCAGAGTCAGGTTCTCTCATAGTATCTGGAGGCCAGCCCTCCTCTGGGAGGGTTCCTGTGAGTGATGAGACACTTTCATCCGATGGGAGAAGAGGGCAGGGCAATTTATTCTGTACACTTCCTCTCTGCAGTGGTCAGTTCTGGCTGCCTGGAGAAGTCTGGAACAATGTCCATCCTCCATCAAGATAAAACTTGCTGGAGAAGTAGGAGAAAAGGCTGCAGTGATTTCATGCCTTTGTTCAGATGCTCGATGGGCTGAAATCCAAGGAATTTGGGTTGAGGGATGGAAACAATGACTTTCATAGGTCAGGTTCCTTTGAGACCTTTCAGTCCAAAAGATATTTAGCTGGAGGTGATGGGAAAATCACTTTCAAAGCACCCTGAAGGTGTTCCCAGCCACCTGCTGCAATTCAGGAGGTGCTCAGTGGAAGCTGTGGCTCTGTGTTGCTTTTCCAGTGGTGGCTCATTGTTTGACTGAGTGTTAAATGCATGTGTAGAAGCAGTTCCTGCTGCTCTCTCCTAAAATAATTGGTCACTGCAATAGGTAAAGTGGAGGGGTAAGGGTCAGGGGAGGTTGTGCTCCTGATAATGGAAGGATTTTGGAGGGACACAGAATATTTCAGTTCTTCTTGAGAAAACGTGCATTTTAATGGACAAGAAAAATTTGGAGATCCTCTCCTTCAGTATCCTGATACAATGTACAGTAAGAAATAAAGAAAACTTAAGGGGAGAAACTTTTCTTTACATTGATTTCATCCCAGAGGGCTTTCATGCAGACATCCCCATAAATTTTTTGGAGCAGTGTCCTTTAGCCTGTTCCAAAAACAGGCACTTCAGAGACAGAATGCTTTAACAATTTACTGATATCTGTCATCCCCATTTTAAAGCCAAATACTGAAACTTGGAGTGACCTTTACCCATAAAAAAGTGTCAAGGATTAAAAGAGGGGTTTTGTTACTGCTACTTTTTGTGTCACTGCCAAGTCATACCAACCTTCTGGCAATTTAGGAGCCCTTTGCTTCCCTCTCTTCTTAGAGAACAGTGCCCTTATTTTACGTCAAGGCTACAGATTTACTTGTAACTTACTCTTTCCCTACAGATGCAAGTGGTGACAGAGTTAAAAACTGAACAAGATCCCAACTGCTCTGAAACTGATGCAGAAGGGGTGAGTCCTGCCCCTGTAGAATCTCAAACTCCAATGGATGCAGACAAGCAGGCCATTTACAGGTAGTAATGGACTCGTGTTCTGTCTTTTGAAGGGTAAAGAGTAGAGGATTTATTATTTTTTTTCAATAAATAATAATAACTAGCTTAAAATCAGATGATCTCTTGGCTAACTGTCTCCATGGTTTGCAGGGGGAAAAAAAATGAGATCAAATTAGCCTCACTGTCAGTCATCAGCCAAGAAAAAAAACTTCCCTAGATAGCAGGATTCTTTAATTTCAGTAGTTTTAATGGATGTTCTAATGGATATTTAGCAAGCTACCTTAGACTGTCAAACTGTGGTCACTATTTGTTAGACTGTAGTTTTTATCTTAAATGCAAGGTTTTTATTTTTATTGTAATTAGGGTGATCTTTGTTCCTTTTTTTTTTTTTTTAGCAGTAACAATCTATTGCCCAGTAATTAGCTCAAAAGGGATTAAATATTGATGTACAAACACACTAATTTGAGATTTTTCAGTGTTAAGTGCTGTGCTAAGCAGTTTGCTCAGTTTTGATGAGATTAAATGTTGTTTCACTTTAACCATTTTATAAAGGCAGAATTATTCAGGTTAAAAAAGAAAAGGGAAAAAATGAAAAAATGAACAAACAAACTACCAAAAAAAGCCAACCTGAAGCTGAAAGATGTATTCACTCATTTACAGACTTGTGCTAACAAAATCATCATCTCCTCAGAGCATGATTTCATAGGAGGCCTCTGAGTACAGCCTGGATACTATTTTCAATTCTTTGAAGTTATTTTGTGATGTATAAATATGGCCCACATTAAAGAATAAATGAACTTTGTCAGACTTCATTTAAATCTGCATTCATCCTGTTTGTAAATCCTAATTCTCGTTTCTCTTGCACTGTAATAATGTATCCCTTATTCAATTACAGTGAATTAAACAGTATGTCAGAGCTTTTGTGATCGTTCTCTTTATTTAAATATATTTAAATATATACCTATTTTAGTGCTGTATTTGCCTCTAGAGAGTGATAAATCAAAATGAAAATAAACTTCTATCATATTTTGCCACTACCAGTGGTGCTAAATGCAGTCTCTTCCAAGGCTTGTCACACTTCCATGAGTGACTGTGACCTCATCTGAGCTAGATGTCCTAATTTTCAGTGGTGTACACATAAGTGAAAATACTTATTCACATATTTAAACCTTTTTTCCTAGGCACCCACTATTTCCCTTGTTAGCACTATTATTTGAAAAATGTGAACAATCTACACAAGGCTCAGAAGGCACAACTTCTGCTAGTTTTGATGTAGATATTGAAAACTTCGTAAGGAAGCAGGAGAAAGAAGGAAAACCTTTTTTCTGTGAAGACCCAGAAACTGATAATTTGGTGAGTATAAGCTGCTTGTTTTATATCTGAAACAGTCATCACATTTGCATCTTCTTCCTAATTCCTGACCTCAACTGGTGCTTATAGTTTCTCCTCACATTTTTCTTCCTGTGAGAGACTCTTATTTATGTTAATGCAGAGAAACATTTTTTGAAGTTTGTTCTGACCCCTTTTTTTCTCTCTTATCTGTAAATTTACATTGGGCCCTTCCCAGTTGTTTCCTATTCTGAGCTGGCTGAGATCACTGTGTTGGAGACAAACAGAAACATGTCCTTGCCACAGCCAGGTTGACTCTGCATTTTCAATTTTAAAGTGTATAACATATATTTATAAAAAAACAGGTAATCAATGTAAATTTTTTCCAGCTGTTTTTTTACTCAGGGTTCATCTAATTAATGTGGGAGAAGAGCCCTTATAAGATTAGCTTAGAAACTCTTTACCATATACAAATTATTTCTCACATGCCACTGACTCCTTTAGGCTTTCTGAAAGTCCTTCCTGTGATGGATCTGTGATTTCCCCTCTCTTGGATATACTTGCCTTCAGTATTTTAGTTCAGAAATGAGAGTTAGTTCTGTCTTGCATGAAGCAGGTCTGCTGACTTCCTGAGCCTCAGGTTATTTGCTTCATTTGTAACTCTGGATTCAATACAAATATTCTGTTTTATCTCTCTAATCCCAGTTTCTTTGCAGAAGCACAGCTGAAATCTAGTAGGTGGGATGTAGTAGCTTGGGCTCAGTGGATGAGGAGAGAGCAGTGGATGTGATTGATCTTGAATTTTGGTGTCTCTTACGATGTCCTCGTAGACAAACCAATAAAGTATGGACTAGATAAATGAGGAGTGAGGTGGACTGAAAACTGGGTGAACTGCTGGGCTCAAAGGATTACTGGGAGGAGTGGCTGGTGCACAGTTGGTTCTGCCACCATTGAGAGGTGCTTTGTTGGCTTTGGAGAAGTAGGCAAACAGGAATCTCGTGGAGTTCCACAAAGGGAAATGCCAAGTCCTGTACCTAGGGAGCAATAATTGCCCTTCCACTGGTACACCCTGGGGGCCAACCCGCTGGAAAGCAGCTTTATGGGAAGGAATCTGACAGTCCTGGTGGACACCAAGACAAGTGGGAGGCAGCAGTGCATCCTTGAAGTAAAGGAATTCAACATACGCTGTGTTAGGAAGAGAATTGTCAGCAGGTTGAGGGACATGATCCTTTCCTTCTGCTTGGCACTGGTGGGACACTTCTGGAGTGTCCTCTCAGTGATGCCCAGGGAAAGGACAAGATGAAATGGACTTAAATTGAAACACAGGGAAGTTCCATTAAATCCTTTTTACTTTATGCGAGGTGGATTGAATAGTACAGGTTGCCCAGGGAGGTTGTGAAGTCTCCATGTGGGGATAGTCAAAACTCAGCATGGCCCTGAGGAACCTGCCCTTAGGTGACCTTGCTTTGAGCGGGAGTTCTGGATTAAACAGTCTCCAGAGGTCCCTTCCAACCTCAGCTGTTCTCTGGTTTCTGTGAGCCTCCAAATAATGGTTTCCCAAAGATCCTGAGTGCCTTGGCCTGTTTCCTGGGTGCTTTTGGTCGTACACGAACATTCTCTCAGGTCTGTGTTACTCTGGTAGTAGACAGGTCTGCTGTGTTTAAACAGTCCTTCCTTGTCAGTTGTTTGTGGTTTTGGTGGCGACAAAGTCTCTTGTTTCATGTGGTTTTCACCTCTGCTGATGGGCTGCACAAATCTGCCTGATTTTGCTTGAGGTGGATGAGGAAACATTTATGTCTTAGATCCTGTGGCTCCTGAGGTCAGTACCATCTTAAAGTAAAACCATGGTGCAAAATCAAAAATCTTTGGCGTTGAACTCATGTCCTGTGGTCGTTTTGTTAGCTGTGACTTTCTGTTACTAGAAGCCAAATGAAATCTGAGTGCAGCTCGTCCTCTGCCTGTCCTGGAGTCTGGGAACTCTGAACAGCTGACATTCTGTCATGCTGATCATTTTGTCTGGGGCAATGAGCAGAAGAAGAGTTTCTGTCAAGTAGTGAACTGGCTACTATTGTTTTTAGTCTCTTCTTCAGCTTGAAATATTGGTGCTTGCACAGAGAAGGCTGCAGATGGGCAGTTTTTTTCTGCCTTGTGTCAAATAAATATATACATTTTTACACAGATTAAAAATGTCTTTTTTCTGTAGAGAGGGCCTCTACTGTGAACCTTTGTTACATCTTCTGTTGTTCTGTCCTTCCCTTTTTAACTACCAACATTAATTCAACTGTTCACTTGAAAGGAGAAGCTGTTGGGGCTGATAATTAGAACGGGCTAGAAGGGTGGAGCAGGTAGGCCAGACAACTGCTTGCTTTCCACCTGGATCCAAGAGAGTCAGACAAATCAGTTGTAAATGCTTCCAATTGTTCAGCTTGGAGTCAGAGCTAAACCGGGATAAATTGAGTATCACAGTACTCTAAGGAGCCAAATTCAAGTCCTATCTGCAGAGTCACAGTAAGGAAATTGGCCATAATTCAGCTGGTTTGGTTTGATGTAAAACTCACCCGCACTTCACGTTTTTTGTGATGGAACTTTAAACTGATGGCTTCAAACCAGCAGAATATAATTTCATTCTCTGTGCTGCCTGCTGGCTAATTAACCAGATGACAGAAATTATGAAAGGTCACAGATGATGATTGTAGGGGTCACTTACAGTCCTGGCAGCGTTCCACATTGTGCTCTCGCTTGCATATTCCAAAGGAAGAGCTTGGTTTTCATCCAAAGGAATGTTAACCTGGGTGGTGCAGGCTTTGGATCAGTGTGACCAGAAAGGAAGTTCATTAAGAGCAGTGTGTGGTTGTTCCAACTTGAGTAGCTCTAAAGATACAGTCGAGATTACCTCATTACTTGGGTATTATGGTTCTCATTCTGAATTAATTGGTGGCTTCCTGCATTGTTAGTATAAAGGATTCCAGCGCTGGGAAATACAGGTAGCATCCACCTGAAACTTAATTTTAAGGACACCCACATATTGTTAAGCCTGGCCTGTAAACCAGGTTTCAGACTTTATTGTCTAGATGGAGGCATTCTGTTCCTTCCAGTTAAACGCTCCAACAGCATAAATGGATGATCTTGAAGCAGCAAGGCAAAGGGTTGTGGTCAACCCAGAAATAGTGTTACCAGGCCTCTTATTCTGCAGTGTCTTTACCAAGTCTGACGTTGTCAGGCACGTGGTCAAAGCAGGGTTTTTGCAGTGAAATGGATAAGAACATTTCTGTAACTGTTGGCTTCTGGATGGCTCAGAACTTTGGTATTAGGCTTCAGCATATTTAAGAGAGTGAGAATTTCTCAGAAGAAATTACAAGAATTTGAAAAGATGTGGAAAAAGTTACACTTCCTTGTGGAAGGTGTTTTCCACTTAAATGGTTTTTTAGGATACTCCCTGAAATGACATGGATTAAGTTTATGTTTTATTTGGGTTAAGTTTATTTTTTATTTGGTTTATTGCTGTGTTCCTGTTTTTTTTCTCTCTATTTGCATTCATGTAATAGAGTCAGCAATGGTTTGTGTTCAAAACCTGCAGCATTTAAAAAAAAAAAAAAAACAACCACAAAATTGTCCTGTGGCTTCCCTGAAGTGTGAAGTTTCAGTTGTTGTCTCTTCCTGCATTTCAGAGGTGTCTAAGATGCCTCTTTTCTTTCCAAGGAAGAGCATATAGGAGGAAAATGCAAAGTTCAGTTCTGAGATCAGTTGAAAGAAAACTGAGAAGCTTCATTTTCTGCTCCTGGACACTTTTTATCAGCTTGCTCTGAGGTGTAGGAGGTCTTGACGTTCTAGGTACGTGTGTATTTTAATGCAGATTCATCTTCCAGTCAGGAGAGGCAGTTGTCTTTGGACTGGAACTCTCCCCTGGGTTCCAATCCATCCCAAATAAATACACAAAGGAAGTGGCTTTTCTATGGTAGCTACATTTGCTCTTCAAGAACTGTTGGCTGCAAACAGAACTTTGAAACTTTTCCCTTCTGACTCCACTGACTAGCCATTTGGGCTTAGATTATTCAGAGAGGTAAAAGGGAGCTACAATTTTATGGTCTGGGTTTTTTTGCAGTAAGGATTTAGCTCTTATAGATGTGCCTGGCACAGCGTGTTGAACCAGAACTGTCCTCTATCTTGGAATGTCCTCTGCAGGTTTCTTCCAGTTTTCAATGATTTTGTTCTCTTTTCTGAGTCTTGGTCACTTGTTGTGTCTCTGTTGATGTTCTCTGAACTTCATGAAAGTGCTGATCAGCTGCAAGAAACGCAGCTTTAGAGGGGACCTCATCAATAAGTGTCTGCAGGGAGGGGGCAGAGGATGGACCAGGCTCTGCTCGGGGGGGCCCAGCAATGGCACAAGAGGAACAGGCAGGAACTGATGCCCAGCAAGTTCCACCTGGACAAGAGGAAGAACTTCTTCGCTGTGCAGTGACCCAGCACTGAACAGATTGTCCAGAAAGGATATGGAGTCTCCTCCCTGGGGATATTCCAGACCCATCTGGACACAATCCTGTGCCATGTGCTCTGGGATGGCCCTGCTGGAGCAGGGAGGTTGGACCAGATGACCCACTGTGGTCCCTTCCAACCTGACCCATCCTGTCCTGCAGACCTTCCCTTTTGAAATCCTACTCCCTGTGGGAATGAAGTTGAAGCTGAAGGCTGTGCTTGTGTTTTACTTACTAGACTGGAAGTGTGCTTTCTTTTCTAAGCTTTAACTGCCTCCTTATGTTTTTTGGAATGTTATTTGCATCCACCTTAGTACTTACATAAAGCATCAGTATCAGATGTGTGTTTGCAGCAAATTCTGCTCTGTATCACTAGCCAGAGGTTCCCAAGTGCACATTCTTCTTTCTGGAAATTCTCATCTTCCAGCTCAGTGTCCTCATTACATGGAGTATCATCTGTTGGAGCTTCATTCCCTTCACCCCTTCCCTTTGCCATCTCTACCTCATTTTCACAGATAAAACGGATCTTGGAATAAATCAATGCTCTAAACTGCTCTTTTTTTTTTTTTTCCTCCATTTATATCCTTTTGTGCTTAGGACTTAGACATGGAGGAACCTGACTGTGTGAGAGGTTTTTCAGCATGAGTGTTTGCATCTCTGGGTTGTTCCTACCTCTTGAGTAACTTCTGTTCAGAGTAAACTCTCCCCCCATTTGGGTGACTTTTTAAATTACCCCACATTCACAGGACCACAGGATGGTTCAGGTTGGACAACAAGCTCATCAAGAGGTCTGCAGTCCAACCCCCTGCACAAAGTAGGGTCAGCTGTTAAGTCAGAGCAGGTTACTTAAGGCTTTGTCAAATCTAGAAGCAGTACAAAACAAGGAGTGTTAAACATGCTCTCACTTTTGTATTTGAACAGGACACTCACTGACTTTTTTGAAGACCCCTCAAGTTTTTTGTTTCGTTCGGGGTAAGGATTTTTGGTTCAGTACCCTCTTCTCTAAGACTGTCCTATTGAATTCTTAGCTGTGTCAGGGTAAGTTGTAGTGGTGAAGCCAGCTGATGTAATTTGAATATTCTTGGCTGAACAAGTCACACATTCCTGGCAAGTTTTCTTACTATTTTAATGTGCAGAACTGTCTCATAAACCTGTAGTTATACCTTTCCTAGCTATGTCTGGTAGCTGAGAACTCAAAATAGGGGAAAGAGGTTTTTCAAATCAAAACAAGTGAAGACAAAATATCCCCTCTCCCAGAGTTTGTGTTCTTCCCCTGAAGACCTAAATCACCCCAGGAGAGTTTGGGTCAGGGAGGTAGGTGAGCTGTGAATGAATTTTAATTGTTTGGGTTTTTTTGCGAATGGAGAGAGTTATTTGGGTGAGATTATGTGTCAGTGTATGGAGATTCTTTCATGTATGTTGTCTGAAATTATAGGCCATGTTTATTTCTACAGCTGAGAAAACTGAATCAATTGACATATAAAAATCTATCGTCCTGTGGCATATTCCATCCAAGAGCACTAAAACCCAAAAAACATGGTTGTAGATTTTGAAGTTGTGTCTTTTAAGAACACAGGAATGAACTATTACTGCTGCTGTGGCCTGTCTGAACATTTCTTTGTATTAATTTTCTTCAACATGGGTGATTTTATCAGGAGTTCTTGATTTTATTGTTTTTTTGGGTTTTTTGTTTGTTTGTTTGTTTGTTTTTTGTGCTTGTTTTTTTTGTGCGTGTGTGTGTGTTTTTGTTTTTGTTTTGTTTTTAGTTTCAAGGAAAAGGTGAATTTCTGCTGACATGGAACTTTGGTCCACCCATGCTGCAAGAGAGCAGGAGCCATATGGCCACAATTAGTATAGTTGTAAATTAATTAATAAGTCCTGGTGACAGGCATGGCGTACTTACAAGGTTTTGTTTGCCTTCTAGCACAGCTTCCTGCAAGAGTAGTGTGACAGTGACAGTCTCTGGAGAGACCTGGATAGTGTTACTGATTCTTGATTTATGGTTAATTCTGACTTTAATTCAGTTATCACTTCAGGTATTGGCCATCAGTTTGAAACTAAAATCCAACTGAAGGAAGGACTTTTATTTTTCCTCCTGTGAGAAAAATCCAAACACATGCTGATAAATAAATAATACAAATATGGGTAATGTTTTAAGGAAAAAAAAAACCCTCTTGACCGAGCAAAACTAATCCCTAATATAGTTAAATATTATGTGTCCAAAGGCATATTTTTGCTACCTCAGGTTTAGCTGAATGTTTAAAACACTCACTGACATATGTGCAGTGTGTTGATCTGCAGCATACGAAGAATTTTCTAGTTTAAGCTTTATTTTGTCTCTGAAACAGGGTACGCTTAGACATGGAGGACCTTTGTTTTGTGTTAAAATCTAATTAAATTTGCATGGTTTAACTTTGTTGTGTTTGAAGGTACTTAAACACAGTTTAAACAGCAACCTGGGCTGGTTTAGAAGATCAGTGTTTTACGCCTCAGTGCTGGGTCGTTGCACTTATTATTTCAAAGGCTTTTGGTATCATAGGTCCAAAGAGTTACCAGATACTAATTTGGATCCACTGCCTCACATCTACAGCTCAGATTTTTCTGCAGCTGTGCTTTGAAAGATACGTGTAATTTTTTTTTTTTCTTTTTAGCCCTGAGAAGAAATAAGGTTTTCTTTCTTTTTTTTTATCTCTTCCTTTTTTTTCCCCTCTTGTTTATTTTAACATACAATTGTCTATACTGGGTGAGTGTCCTACAACTGGAATACCTTCTGCTGGAAAAACAGGGAGAAGATCTGTCACAACGAAAGCTAAATTGTCATGGTGATGAGGGGAGCACATCCAAACGTTTTCCTGCCTTGGTCTCTTCCAGGTGCTTTGAAAAAAAGGCAACTTCACCTCCCAATTTGCTTCTTGAGTTAGAAGCAATAGGTGGATTAGTTCATAAGGCATCATTGCTGGTCACTGGATTCAGAGCTGTGGCCAGGGAAATGACCCTTCATATAGGAGGAGTTTTTCCAAATAATTACAAAATCAAGCTCTGCACTTTGCCTCAAAATTATAATTACTCAGTTTCATAAAACCAAAGGGTATTTCTCTTGGAGATTTAACATAGCACATAATTGTTGGGGGTGGCATGCTGTGTGAAAAATAATTACTTTGCTAATGTGTTGTGTACATATTCGAATGCCCTGGATTTCTTACTGCTTCATGAAAATTTAGACCATCTGGGTTTGGTTTTGGCTTTTGATCTTCTGCCATGACCCTTACAATCACCTCAGCTATTTTTATGCAGTATGTAATGCCACTGGTTATCCAGGCTTACAAGTCTTTTTTCTTACAGTAAGCATGATAAGTCTTCTTACCACATACATATCTCCTGCACTTTGATTTTTGTTTAAACGTGTCGGGTTTTTATTGAGCTTAGTGCTTTTTATTTGATGGTTTATGTTTCAGAACCAGTCTCCTCACCTGAAAGTTCTTACAAGGTTTTTACCTGAGAGTTGTTCATCTTTGACATGCCCTTGCGGAGGAACTTAAATAAAAGCTGTAGGACTGAAAAGCTGTTTGATTACTTTAAGCTTTGTTGAGCAATGTGACAAAGCTTGGGACCTCTTTATTCTAATTTAATTGAAAAATAGAAGCTGTTAATTTTTGGTTACGGGTGAGATGACAGGCCATTTCCTGTATTTTTACCCTCCCCAGCAGTCTGTGGGACAAATTGATGATGAAATCACAGGAGGGTCTTCTCAGTGTGTCTCACACTCATCTGTACACTTTTGGTCTCCTTGGGTCAGGGTGCGACGTGGAGCTGGAGCTGATATCTCTGATTTATAGAGCTCAAGACAACTGCTGGTGGCCAAGCCTGTCCCAACCTTTCTTTCCAAATAACACGTGTGGGTGGGATCACTTTTCTTCACTTTCATTCTTGGGTGGTTTGTGGCACGGAGTTGTTGGATGGGGTTAAAGATCATCCCGTGCCCTGTGACACCTTCGCTGTGCTCTGCCTTCCTAATGTGCCTCATGTGACAAAGGTCACGTTGTTGGCCTGTTCTGCTCCCCCTGTGTGGTAGTTGGCTTATGTTCCTTTCACCTTTCAGGCCTTAGCAATTAGTAATTCTGCTTTAATTGGGTGATCTTTGGCACTGGAAAGTGGTGTTTTGCTTACATCTCACATCAAATATTTTTTTTTTAATTAACAGTTATTTTGTTTCTAACGGGGTTTTTTTCCCCCAATTCCTCTCCCTTAGATGGTAAAAGCAATCCAAGTTCTTCGTATCCATCTGCTTGAGCTGGAAAAGGTTAATGAGCTCTGCAAGGATTTCTGTAGTCGTTACATTGCCTGCCTGAAGACAAAAATGAACAGTGAAACTCTCTTAAGTGGAGAGCCTGGCAGTCCTTATTCACCTGTGCAATCTCAGGTATGTTCCACATACATCTGAGTGTGGTTTTGCTTAGATTTCCTTAGGAGCTTACAGCTCCACTTCTCTTGCTATTAGTTTGCAAACAGAGTTTCTGCAATTTCCTTTCTCAAATCAGTTACTAAGAGTAGGAAGAGCTATTTTATTATTTTTTTGTGTGTGTGTGCACTGCCTGATGGACAAATTTGTTCAAATATGCCAGAACATGGGCTCAGTTTTTTATTGTCCGTCATGCTTTTATGATTTTCCCCCAGTTCAGCAACTGTAAATAGTCAGAATAGCCTGGATTTGCTGTTTTGTTGGAAGGAGGGTAGGAAACAGAATACAAAGGAGAAGAAAAAGATGTCCATATTAAGAAGGTCTCCTTCGTCTAATTTGCTTCACTGAAATACTGAGGTGACTGATACACTTTATACACAGTCTGGAACAAACAGACAATGTCTGATGAATTATAGTTGCAATGTTGGAGATGTCTGTCATTGCTTGTCACCCCTGGTAAATGTGTAATTATGGAAAGGACCCATTTCTATACATAGGAACCTCAGTTTATATATTGTTGACATCGCTAAATGCAACAGCCAGTTGCTTTTTTTGGTAGTAAATTGGTAACAATTAACAACAGTTTGTACGTTATGGTTGACATCTTTGCTGTTAAATGCTGCAAAGTGAGCCCTGACACCCAAGTACCTACAGGATAATGAGTCTTGAGGGATGGCCCTTCTCAGAATTACTCACATGTCTGATGCTCTGTATTCAAAAAAGCCTCAGTGACTTTTAAACTCCACCTTCTGGACTCCTTCCTTAGGTTTCAGTGTGGAAAGGAGATTCTAAAATCAGACCAAAAAAAAAAACCTTTTAAAGGTGTTTTTTGTACGTCTCCTACGTTTTACATTTGCTATCAAAAGAAATTATTCATACTTATTAAGGAATGTGTAAGAGTTTGCCTGGTCAGGGTTGAATAAGAACTATATTGAGCAGAATAAAACATACTGGGCATCTTGAATACTTAATAATTTTGAAATTGATGGAATTAAGGTAATAACTAAAATTCTAAAGCTTTGATGCTTGTAATCAGAGCATCAAGGGTCATTTCATCTGTCCTTTTTCCCTTGTGCTTTTGGAAACTGTTTCTCTTGCTATTTATATACCCAGAACTAGAATTTCTGAAGGTAGTTTTACATCTAACAGTTGCTTTCATGAGGGTTTTCAAAGGTAATGGTTGGTGATAATGAGGAAGTTAATGTAGCTAATGATGAACCTCTAATGAAGTCTCCCTTTGAAGGTAGTCCTGTGATTAAGCTCCAAATGTGTTTTAGAACCAAAAATGCATAATACAAAATACAAAAATACACAAGCATGGTTTATCTCCTTACAAACAAACAAACAAAAAAGTTTAAAAAAAAATCCAAGCAACTAATTGCTTTATTTTTTCCTAGCAAATTCCAAGTGCCATTGCAGGCACACTCAGTCCCCAAGGGATTATGGTGCCAGCATCAGCATTGCAGCAGGGAAATGTAACTATGGCAACAGTAGCAGGTATGACAAAGTAAAAACAACTGGCACCTTGCTTTTCGTGTTGGCTTATTTAGTAGTTGTTTCAAAAAATACACAAAGACTTTTACAAAATGTGTTTTAATACCTGAAAAGTTGTTATAATACAGTCAGGTGCTTTACTGTTTTATGAAGGTTTGTTTTAATTTTTTGTATACCAAGTATGACTATGTGAGTGGCACTTAATTGTATATAGTATTAAGAGATCTTCCTGTACAACACTACAAAGAGATTTTAGAGACCTTCTTCCCCTTTAAAAAGAATTCTATTTGACAAAAAACAGGCATTACCTAAAACATTTCACTTGTTGGCTGCCTCAGGCTCCCTGGAGTTGGGAACCACACCTGCAAGTCTGTCCTGGTTGTCCTGCTATTGTAGAAATTAGATTTTAACTGAAACATTTTATCTTCCTTCTAAGCAGGGTTTTAAAACAAACCCAGCTGTCTGCCCTAACCATTGCACTCACATAGGTGTGGTTTTGGTGTTGAGACGCTTTTTGAAGACTTGAAACAAAACAATTTTTTTTTTATAGCCTGATAATCGTGGCATTTTCCCTTGAAAACAGATTTAGGATGCCTAAAATACAGGGAAATATAATCAAATTTCCTACAGTCTTCTGTGGATGGAAGAAAGTTTTAGTGTAGCGAAGAGCACATCTTAGGTGCTTACTAGAAAAAAAATTGAGTAAATATATTATCAAAAATCTTGTGTTGCCTGCAGTGCTGATGCCTTTATGTGTTTAAAGAGAATAATGCTTGAAGGGCTGTCACTCACCTGCAATCTGTGTTGCTGTTTTGCTTTAAGGGGGGACGGTGTATCAGCCAGTCACGGTGGTCACTCCACAAGGCCAGGTGGTGACACAGGCGCTGTCACCTGGGACTATTCGGATCCAGAACTCTCAGGTTTGTTTCATGGGCTTCACAGAGTAGTTATTCTGGGTTTCAGGTAGATCTCCAGTGGTTTTAAGAGGTTTGGTTTAAATTTGGCAGGCTGTCAGAACTAGCTCTGTGTACTCACACGTAGTAACTCGTGTAAAATTAGTGCAAGCGCTGCTGTAGGAGTTACAGGTTGTGTAACATGGCGTAATCTGGAGATCCCAGACAGAGCTCCCTTGCCACATCATAGTTCCTACCTGTTAAATGTCTTTTTTAACGATGGCAGAAGAGTATAGGTACATGGAAATAAGGATAAAAAAGGAAAAAAAAAAGAACTAAAATTAAAACAAAACAAAACACCTCTAACCTCCTCCCCCAAGAAAAAAAACGAAACACAACTCTCCAAAACAAAATCCCCTTTGAATTAGACACATCTTCAATTTGTACAACTTTTTAATTGTTGAATGAGGTTTATGGCTGGATAGATTTACTGGATTGCATTACGGTGCCACACTGCTGTTGTGAGAATTCTGACTTTTTTTCTAGTGATGGCAACCACTGGTACTGTGGAACTGTATGTACTTCAGAGTTAGTCTATTTTGGGAAGCATTTTTGCTGTAAAACCTTGAAGATACTCAGTTGAGGCTATGGGAGATCCTCACATTTGGCTCACTGTGTCACACCCTATAAGATAAGGGCCAGCACTCTTTTGGGGGAGGCTCCCGAGGGCTGGATCTGGAGAATTCAAAGGAACAACCAAGGAAAAGGAAACATGAAAACTAGACCATCTTTAGCTGCAGAAAACCTTGCTAGCTTTCTCTTGGAGCTGGAAGTGGTAAATCAAATCTTCCAGGAATCTGGAGTCAATTAAAAATGTGAATGAGGAGCTACCATCTCCACAGAATCTGTTGGTAATCACTGACTCACTGGCTTCTTTTCTTCCTTATTTTGACTTTCCAACCAAAAAAAGCATGCACAGAATGTTCTTTTATTTGGCAGGAGCATATATGTACTTGCCTAGAACACATACAGTTCTGGCTTCAGACACCTTGCAGAAAGAAATGTGTAAAATTACTCTCCTATACTGAAGTGGTTTTGAAGAAAGATGTTTTTTATACTTCTTATGGCAAAAAGAAATAAATACTGAGTGGAAAATAATGCCTATAGTCTACAAACAAAAAAAAAGGACTTGACCTTCTATACACATCTGTGACTACTCTTGATGTTAGTAGGAATCTCCAGTCCCACCTGTGCATAGGTTTGGACCTGAATTCCATAGAAAATCCTTCTTCAGTTTCTTCTTTTTGAGTGTTTCACAATGCTGTGGAGGTAGGGAAAAGTAAAGGTGGAGAGCTGTTGAAAGATCATTATAAAGCCTTCATATACAAGCAGATTATTTAGAATGTAAAGCATTATTTTGGAGATAAAAGTGTGCTCCCAATATATATTTCTTATAATTAAATAGCTTAAATCTTGTTTAAAACTAGTTTCATACAGGAAACAGACATAATGATTGGCTTAAGAAATTGCTCCAGTTTGTCTGTAAAACCTGATTTAGAACGATTTCAGTTATAATTGTCTGAATTAGAAACTTATATGCAATTTTTATGCTGTTTCTCCTTCTCTCTGTGTAAGCATTTGAGAATGTATTCCTAAATGTTCAGATAACCAATGTGCAAATTATTTGCTGTATCCATAGAAAGTGAAAAAGAAAGAGAAAGAAATATTTAGGAAGTAGTAAGAGTGTTGTAAAGTTCTAGCATATAGATCTTCCTGCTCTTGGAGAATTTAGATGCATTTTTTAAGAGGACCTTTGTCATCATTGTTTGCAACTCTAGCATAATAATTAATTTTACTTTACCCTTTGTTTAAGTCTCAAATCAGTAGCATTTTGCAGCTTCCATAGTTGTTTATATTTGCACACGGTGAGTTTATTCAAAATATTCAATCCTAATTTCTTTTTGTTCAATACATGAGTTGCTCATTCATTGACACAGAACTATTAATTACTGTGCTAACTGCCTTATTTCTTCTAAATTTGTATGTGCAGCTTCAGTTGCAATTAAACCAAGATCTAGGCATCTTGCATCAAGATGATGGCTCATCAAAAAATAAAAGAGGAGTTCTTCCCAAGCACGCTACAAATGTGATGAGATCTTGGCTTTTTCAGCACATAGGGGTAAGGACTGAGCATGGTCAGGAGACACAGTTTTTTGTGTAACTCTTTTATGTGGTCTCTTACAACTTTGCTTTATAAAGAAGATGAATTTATTCTCTTGTCCTTTGTGTAATCTCAGTTCAGTTTTCCCTGAAGTCATTTGGAGTAGTTCCACGGTCTAATGTCAGTTGATTTCATTATTATTTTAATATATTTTAATAGGGATGTTACGTTTGTACTTCATGGTCTCAATAAACATTGTTAAAGGGAAGCTTTCTTCATTTCACTGTGCTGAGAACTTAACGCTCTCTACACCCTGGTTCATGGCACAAGGAAAAATAATTCCGTCTGTGTTTTGTGGTGTTTTGGGCATACTTTTGGTAGAGGAAAATTTTCAAATTTTCTGGCTTTATCTCCTTTCCAACAGTCCTAATGTGTACCAAGTGTGTTACTATCTACTTGTGCTTTCAACAGAACCTCTTTCCTTTGCATAAATACTTACCTGGAAAGGATAAACGGGCCTCAAGTTACATGACAATGTTTAGTTGATGGATATTTTGTATTTCACAGCCATTTCACAGCAGAAAACTGATACAGGGAAACTGCATGTGCGCCTCTCGTGTTACATACCCTGACTTCATCTGTTTAGTTCAGAGCAGCTTTATTTAACTGGAAAGTGCTTGTCAGTGCTCTCATATGACATTGCCTTTAGACAGCATAACTAATCAGATGTTATCACATGCTGTGTTGCCCTGGGATCACGCTGCTTAGTAAAGACTGCTGGCCATGGGAAGCTTTTTCTTCTGGATTACACATCAGTAGTTTAATGGTGTCGTAGACACTTTCAAGGATAAAATCAGTTTCGTGTAGTAAAGCGCCCCTTGTTAAATTATTTATATCTATAAAAGTTTGTGAGGTTTCTGAAGTCCGTGTTTTAATGAGTCAGATGGTCTTAATCCAGCAGCTTTAATCTGTTGTAATAAAGGAATTCTTATTTTTGATGAGGAGCAGCTTTAATCAGTCGTAATAAAGGAGCCCTTATTTTTGATGAGGAGATGAAACAAGCTTATGCCTTTTTTTGTTTGCTTTTTTGGCCTCTTTAGCATCCGTACCCAACAGAGGATGAGAAGAAGCAGATTGCAGCACAAACAAATCTGACACTACTCCAGGTTAACAACTGGTAAGAGCAAACCCCTTATTTAATATGTCATTATCTCCACGTGCTTACAGCATAGAAATAGGTGAGAGTGTAAGCTGGATATCTGGAACTGAACTGGCTGTTCTACATATGCTACAAAACCTGTGTGGAAATACAGGAGTTGTGCACTGATACAGAGACGTGTCATTTTCCTAAAGTATAATAATAGTCATGCCACTGAAATTATGTAAGGACTCCAGAAAACATTGCAACATTAAGGAATTCTGTTCTGTTGCTGAGAGAGATGGAAGAACTCTCCTTTCTCTTCTGCAAGTAAAGAAATGGAAGATGAAAGGTGTTCAGTGACCTGAAGCTCTGAAAAGGTTGCAAACATTTAAGAATTTACTGTCAACAGATATTGATTCTGGCCTTGCATCAAAGGATGCTCCTTTGAGCAGTGATGTCTGGAGAGTGGCAGTACCTCAGCTGCACTAGTTCGTGGTTCAGCATGTTTTAGCATGTTTTATCTTCACTGGAGGTGTAAGATAAGACACCTGCCCCCCCAGAAGAGAGGAGGGAAAGTGCCAGCACGCACCTATTCGGCCTGTGGGTTCAGTTCCTAAAATTACTGCAGCAAAGTCCAACAGGGATCTTCCTCAGATTTCAAAGAGGGCACTGGCTGAGTGGCTGCAGAGGGGTCCAGTGGGGAAATACTTAAGATAGTGACAGAACTCAGGTTCCAAAAGTGGAACAGTGTAACTCTGCCTGTGGGACATGTAGTCACGGAGCTCTGTGGCCTGGGATCTGACTGCTGTCTGTGAAGAGCATTTTATTACACCACGTGGACCTGCCAGCTGCAACCAACCTCCCTCCATTGCAGGCAAAGGTGTGTGTCCTGGCTGTGTTTTGTCAGATTCAGGGATGGTATCCTCACTCCCAGCTCCTTGGCACAGCTCCCTGCATCGAAGTTGATTCAGTTGATTGCTGGTAGCTAATGAGACGTTGTTTGAAGCGTTTTCTTGTTCACTAGCAGGAAGGGGAAGGGCAGCGATTAACACGCTAAAGTAAACAAGTGAAAACCAGGGAACGAAAAGGAATTGGGAAAGATCCGAAAAATGTGTTTGCTGTTGTCTCCTGGATCAGGAGCCAGCCCTTGGAAAGCCAGGGAGCCTATAAAATAAGTAATGCGGAAGCTCAAGGAAGTAAATGAAACCAGGCCAAACAAACTAGGTTAGGCAGGGGCTAGATTTTAGGTGGACCCTAATGAGAAGAGTATCAGCTTTCTGAGCTGTGCTTGTCAGCAAGTTTTCTGGTGCTTAGTTTTTAATAAGATCCTGAATTGTACATCAGTTGTGCTGTCTGGAGGATTTTTCCTTCTGAGGTGAGGGTGGGGGGGAAATGCTGCGAGCTGCAAAATGATGGAAGCACTTTCCTAGCTAGTTTGCCAAAACCAAAAGATGTGGGTATTCTAAAAGCAGAAAAAAAGCTTTAAAAAAAAAAAAAAAAAAAGAAGCCCATCTAATGGGCAGAAAGATTTATATTCCTGATTTTTGACTTTCCACTGCATGCTTTGTGCATGTGAGAGAGAATTCACAGCCAGCTGGTCACAAGTTCTCCTTGCCCTCGATTGTGTTCAGGTTTATCAATGCTAGAAGGCGAATTCTTCAGCCCATGCTGGATTCCAGTTGTTCCGAAACTCCCAAAACAAAGAAGAAAACAGCTCAGAACCGGCCAGTCCAGAGGTTCTGGCCTGACTCCATCGCCTCAGGAGTTGCTCAGCAGCAATCCAGCGAGCTGACCATGTCCGACGGTAAGGAGGGACCGGGGATAGTCAAATGGGAAATGGAGGGATTGGTGCCTTTTTGTGGGGAGGGGAACTTCTTCATGTCTCAGTATAAACATGGTTTTAATCTGGGAAAACACAACAGGAACGTGTGAATTTTTTTTCTCTTTATTGTCTGTGTTTTCAGAGGAATATTTTACTGGATTTTGTGCTGAGAGACTGTTGCTTTTGTCTCAAAAGTTATGAAACAGCAGAACAAAAGCGAGATGTACAGCTCTGATGTACAACTAAGGCCCCTCAGAACGTGTGTGCACGTCAGGAGTGTTCTCTTTGATGAGCACTACGGGGCTGCAGCTTCAGTGTCATTGCTGAGCATCTGCAATTCTACATCTGCCTCACGTGTTTTGAGGTGAACAGCGAGAGGCAGAGAGATGTAATAGAGTCTCCAAAGACTCTGGCTGAAGTAACTTTCTCAGCACCAGATCACACAAAAAGACCTAATTTCAGAAAGATAAATAGCTGCTTTAATCTCAGGATCACCCTTTCTGTCGTGCTGCCTGGTCATTTGTTCCTTCTCAGTTTGCAGCAACTTTTCCCTCAGCCTGTGCTGGACCTGACAACAGCTTTGTCCATTTAAATCTCCTTTAATCTCTATGAACACTCCCATTTTTCTGCAATGAATTAAGCTGGAATACTTTGCAGAAATGGTCTTGTGATGACTTGATTGGAGAATTGCTGCAGTGGGTGTCTGTAACACAGCTAAATTTAAGATTCCTGACCAACTTAATCCTGGCATTTCCTGATGTTTGAATGTTTGACGACCCATACGGCTTTTCTTTTAATTTAGTTTCTTAGGTTTTCTTCCTGTTGATTGGAAAAAAAAACCCTGTTATAAATAATAAATATGTATTACTTAAAACTGGAAAGCAAGAAAGATGCCGAATTACTGTGGTTGTGCTCCTGCAGGCGCCGTTGTCACCATTACAGCTCCAGTCAACATGAATGTAGACAGTCTCCAGTCTTTGTCATCTGATGGTGCTACTTTGGCTGTTCAGCAAGTCATGATGGCAGGGCAGAGCGAGGATGAGTCTGTAGACAGCGGGGAAGACGATGGAGGAGACCTCTCAACAACGAACATCAGCGGGCTGGTCTTGGATAACAGCGATTCTCTGCAGTAGGAAGCGAGAGAGCGTGACGAAACACTTAGGAAGAAAAAAAAGAATGGACTGACTGACTGACTTTTTATAGTTTGCACAGCAAACATTTTACACAAGTTTTATTTCTAATATGTTTTATATGTAGATATAGAAGGGTGCACTTTTTTGTATTTCATAGTAAGCTTAAAGAGTGTTTTTGCAGGTGCAGCAACTTCTTTCAAATGTGGATTGTTTTTTTTTTTTTCCCGGTTCTTTTTTCCTTTTTCTTATTTCAGAAAATTATATCTAGTAATATAAAGAACCACGTAAGCACCCCTTTGTTCTATGAATTGGAAGTGCTGCAGTTTCTGATGAATTATGCAGTTTCAATTAGTGCTGTTATTTAACACAGCTTTGGATGGGCAGGTGATGTAAATTTAAAGCATGTGACACTAGTGTGTGAAACTTGATTATTAAGTTAGATGCATATATTTGAAAGATGCTTCTGCACCTTAAAAACTGCTAGTCTGAGGTGGACAGCAACACACATAAAAAGGAACTGTTGATGTGTGATTCAGTAGAGAATGTATGGCAATTTAAATAAGTTTAGTTTCTCTCATAGTCCGTGAGCCTGTTTATCATTTGCTATAAAAACTCCTATTTTTACCTTGCTGGGGTTATTGGATAAAAAAAAAAAATATTTTTATAAATTCACTAGAAATTGGGATGATGACTGTATTAAGCAGGAGGAGGAGGAAAAAAAAAATTTCCAGAGGGGAAAAATAAATGTTTAGTATTCCTATTTGGAAGGTCTGAAAACTGACCCAATTTAATAAACATGCCTACAGTAGCATTCTATGATTCTCAGCTATCCCACGGTGATATACTATATTTGATAATAGCATAAGAAGGGCCCACTGTTTGATGGGATTTTGATATTGTCAAACATTGATTTATATTATGTGTAAACTAATATTCAAATTACATAACTCTGTATCTAGACTTGTATCTGAAAATATTTGCTAAATGACTATTCAGGTAAGTAAATTCAAATACCCACAACTTTTCCAGTTGCTAGAGGAACTTAACAGTTTATAGTTTGTACAACTGAATCTGAAAAAAAAAAAAAAGAAAAGCTGCCTACTATACAGTCATGAATTCTGCTATTTTATTGCATTTGAAATATTTTCCCCTAATACGAAAAGAAATATAACTTATGGATTTATATAAAAATTTCTTCAAATCTGAAGTTTACTACCAGAATATACAGCAGGCTTTATTAGAGTAGAAAACCCTTGTGTGTCATTTAAAAACGAAGAGCTGTTGTGAAAACAGCTGGGTTTTTTTTTGGTTTTGGGTTGTTTGTTTTTTTTTTTTTTTGTGGTAACAGTTCATTTCTTTAATTTTCCCAAAGTTTAAAGTCTGTGTCTGTCTATCCACGAACTTTTGGAACTTTTGTATTTCCCTTTGTCAAGTACAAATAACAGACTCCGGGAGCCTCGTGGTATGATCAACGTCCCCTTTTTAATCCTGTTTGTCACAGTGTTGGGTTAGATCAGAACGTCCTTCTGGTTTAGGGCAGATCTAGTTGCGTTTCTGATGGTGACAGGGGAAAAAAAAAATGTTAGCTTTTAGACATTGTATTTGAACAAAGCCCTTGGACAGGTGCAAATATTTAATTGAATACCTAATTTGTGCTTCACAGGGCACTCAGGCGCGTGTGCTTCGGTCCCGTTGATTTTGGTAGGATTAACACACCTGCTCTTGGACGTGCCTGAATGGTTGGAAGGTGGTCACTGCAGATTCCAAAGCAGGTGTGAGTTGATGTGAAGAAAAACTTAAGGAAGAAATGTCAGTAGCGCTGCCACGTGCACGTGGAAAATAATACTAGTTTTCAGTGACTGGTAGCTGTTTAAAAAAAAAAAAAATTGGTGTTGGTTTTACTCAACACGAGTGATGTTTCTGCTGTGGCACTCACTTATTCCTGGCTGAGGATCTTCCTTAGTTCAAATGCTGTGACGATCTGCTCCACTGGAGTGGTAATTCCTAAAGAACTTGTTTTCTTCTGACTTCTCTGCTTTGCCACCGATGTGCCATGTTTGTTAAACAGCAAGGTAAATGAATAATGAAAGGTTTAATTAGGAAGGTGTTGACATAGCATAACTATTTCAAAGGCTGTCGTCAAATCCGGTTTGACCCCAAAACATTTTAAAGGACAGAAACCACGTATGAATCCTGCTCCTTTGGAAACATTCAACCTACTGCCCCTGCAAAAGATAACTGAGATTACTGGAACAGAGAGACAGATTTTGTATTTTTAATTGTTTTTGATTTAACTCCAAAAGTGCTTCATCACCCCCGCAGTTTCCATTATACAGCAGGTCATGTTTGTTGGTTGGTTTGGGGTTTTTATACAGCCACCTTTGTTCATGTTTAGTAGACCTTTAATCCTTGTACTTGCAGGCAGAGGAATAATCTGCTTTTCAGTGAGTACAGGACAAACACCTGCTCTTCCAAATCAGGCTGTGCTGGAGCACCAGGCTGTTTTTCACCATCTCCTTTCCTTCCCTGATCAGCTGTTGCTGCCTCAGGCTTTGCCCATCCTGCTTCCAGGTGGGCTTGGGAGCAGCTCATCCAGCTGATCCCGGGGGTAGCAAACAGCCAGCAGGGAAGGGAAGGGCAAACCAAAGTGGACAAAACTTCCATGCTTTGGAGGTCACGTGGCAATGGGCCTTTGCCCACACCTCGAAACTATGAGGACTGAGATCCTAAAAAGAGAGAAGGCCTTAAAGCAATTTAGTGTCTATACAACCAACTGGAAGAGGCTTCAGGAATACAGGAATATGTTGTTATGTGCCACTTGGAACTCAATTGGAAACAACCAGGCCTCAGGGTTTGCAAACTCCTGAAAGTTTATTTTTCAGAGAGAAGCCATTATCTAGTTAGCTTTTTTTTTTTTTTTTTTTTTT